TTTCCATGCCTTCGTGCGTATTGTGCATATAGGGCTAGACCAGAGTTTCCCAAAAAATTTTGGCCCCACGTCCCCCTTTTAAATTAAAATATCACCAAGCGCTCACACACCTTTTTTCCCTGGAAATAAGTAAAGTTTTAAAAAAAATAGTGCAGATCCCTTTTTACGCCTTAGGCGCATCGGGCATATGGGAAGAGCAACCATATTTGTACAGAGCATCGGCGCTAGGTGCGTTATGTGGTCAGCATTACGCCAGCCGTCTTTACTTCCTCAGAACATCCATCCTGGTACCCATGTTAGGCTGGGTCGACCTGCGACGCCTCATACTCGACCTGCGACGCCCCATACCATGATAAAAATCCACACAGCCAGCAGTGGATTTCGATCGCGGTACCTTGGGATTACGAGTCGGACTCACAACGCCAAAGCCACGGACGCCGCTTTCTGGAAATAGCACGACTATTATCATGTGCCACGTTGAAAAGTAAAGGCAGTCATATATGATTATCCTACATGACCAGCAAAATCAAGCCAGGTAGTGAGTGCTCTTGTCCCACCAAAGGCGTGAGGTCAAAACTGTCAAGATACTTTATTTATATTTTTATTTTATTTTATTTTTAGTTAACATGTCTGCAAAATCAGAGAAACCTCTGTTTCGACACAGATTTACTGTCAGACTTGTTTTCACAATAAAAATATTGTCATTGGTTTTCAACGGATTGCGTTAGTTTCTTGATATGCGTGGCAACACCGAAATCATCGATATTTGCGAACTCATTTGATAGATTTCAACAAAAACTGACTAATAAACTGAGAAGGAGCTGAACGAGACAGCCAAAAACTGGTGTTATTTCTGCAGCATCCTGTAAAGTGATGGTTCTCAACCTTCCTAATGTCTTTACCCTTCAATACAGCTCCCTCATCTTGTGGCGACCTTCACACGATTATTTTTATATCATAACTTCATGAATATGCGTTTTCTGATGGTTTTAGGCGACCCTTGTGAAAGGGTCGCGACCGGCAGGTGGAGAACCGCTGCTGTAAAAGGTACGAAACTTTCAAATCAGTATCCTAATGTGAGCTTGCGGACTGATTCTCTCCTTTTGGAATAACATCCAAAAGTACCACACCTTGCATGTCTCAAAGACAGTGATCGTGACCTTTCCAACTGAAGGGGGTTGTGCTGAATTTCTATCTTCAGATAGAAGATGACGCCACTTCATCTACTGTCGTTTTCATATCTTCGTGGTGATTACAGATGACGCCATTTCATTCACTGTCGTTTTCATATCTTCATGGTGATTACAGATGACACTACTTTATTGACTATCTGTTTAATATTTTCTGATTACGGATGACACTACTTCATTGACTATCTATTTAATATCTTCTGATTACAGATGACACTACTTCATTGACTATCTATTTAATATCTTCTGATTACAGATGACGCTACTTCATTGACTATATGTTTAAAATCTTATGATTACAGATGACGCCACTTCATTGACTGTCGTTTTCATATCTTCGTGGTGATTACAGATGACGCTACTTTATTGACTATCTATTTAATATTTTCTGATTACAGATGACACTACTTCATTGACTATCTATTTAATATCTTATGATTACAGATGCCGCTACTTCATTGACTATCTGTTTAATATCTTCTGATTACGGATGACACTACTTCATTGACTATCTATTTAATATCTTATGATTACAGATGACGCTACTTCATTGACTATCTGTTTAATATCTTATGATTACAGATGACGCCACTTCATCTACTGTCGTTTCCATATCTTCGTGGTGATTACAGATGACGCTACTTTATTGACTATCTGTTTAATATCTTCTGATTACAGATGACGCTACTTTATTGACTATCTGTTTAATATTTTCTGATTACAGATGACACTACTTCATTGACTATCTATTTAATATCTTCTGATTACAGATGACGCTACTTCATTGACTATCTGTTTAATAACATTTGATTACAGATGACGCCACTTCGTTGACTGTCTGTTTAATACCTTCTGATTACAGATGACGCCACTTCATTGACTGTCTGTTAAATATCTTCTGATTACAGACGGTGCTACTTCATTGACTGTCTGTTTAAGATCTTCTGATTATAGATGACACCACTTCATTGACTGTATGTTTAATATCTTCTGATTACAGATGACGCCACTTCATTGACTGTCTGTTTAATATCTTCTGATTACAGATGATGCCACTTCATTGACTGTCTGTTTAATATCTTCTGATTACAGATGACGCCACTTCATTGACTGTCTGTTTAATAACTTTTGATTACAGATGATGGCACTTCATTGTCTGTCTGATATCTTCTGATTACAGATGACGCTACTTCATTGACTGTCTGTTTAATATCTTTTGATTACAGATGACGCCACTTCATTGACTGTCTGTTTAATATCTTCTGATTATAGATGACACCACTTCATTGACTGTCTGTTTAATATCTTCTGATTATAGATGATGCCACTTCATTGACTGTCTGTTTAATATCTTCTGATTACAGATGAAGCCACTTCATTGACTGTCTGTTTAATATCTTTTGATTACAGATGACGTCACTTCATTGACTGTTTAATATCTTCTGATTACAGACGATGCCACTTCATTGACTGTCTGTTTAATATCTTCTGATTACAGATGACGCCACTTCATTGACTGTCTGTTTAATATCTTCTGATTACAGATGATGCCACTTCATTGACTGTCTGTTTAATATCTTCTGATTACAGATGACGCCACTTCATTGACTGTTTGTTTAATATCTTTTGATTATAGATGACGTCACTTCATTGACTGTTTAATATCTTCTGATTACAGATGATGCCACTTCATTGACTGTCTGTTTAATATCTTCTGATTACAGATGACGCCACTTCATTGACTGTCTGTTTAATATCTTCTGATTACAGACGGCGCCACTTCATTGACTCTCTGTTTAATATCTTCTGATTACAGATTATGCCACTTCATTGACTGTCGATTTAATATCTTCTTATTACAGATGACGCCACTTCATTGACTATTTGTTTAATATCTTCTGGTTATAGATGACACCACTTCATTGACTGTCTGTTTAATATCTTCTGATTATAGATGATGCCACTCATTGACTGTCTGTTTAATATCTTCTGATTACAGATGAAGCCACTTCATTGACTGTCTGTTTAATATCTTTTGATTACAGATGATGCCACTTCATTGACTGTCTGTTTAATATCTTCTGATTACAGATGACGCCACTTCATTGACTGTCTGTTTAATATCTTTGATTACAGATGACGTCACTTCATTGACTGTCTGTTTAATATCTTCTGATTACAGATGACGCCACTTCATTGACTGTCTGTTCAATATTTTCTGATTACAGATGACGCCACTTCATTGACTATCTGTTTAATATCTTTTGATTACAGATGACGCCACTTCATTGACTGTCTGTTTAATATCTGTTGATTACAGATGACGCCACTTTATTGACTGACTATTTAATATCTTCTGAATACAAGTGGCGCCACTTCATTGACTGTCTGTTTAATATCTTCTGATTACAGATGGCGCCACTTCATTGACTGTCTGTTTAATATCTTTTTGTTACAGATGACGCCACTTCATTGACTGTCTGTTTAATATCTTCTGATTACAGATGACGCCACTTCATCTTCTGTCGTTTTCCTGTCTTTGTGGTGATTGCAAATGACAACACTCCCTTGACTGTCTTTTTATCTCAGTTTCAAAATTTTATGTCCAAGTTTCGTCCCACACACACAAATTCTCCATCATCATTGGAACGGTCCAACAGTTCAGGAGAAATTGCTTGATTTTGCAATCGGTGGTCATTTGTGAGACTTCGAGTAATACGTCTTGAGGAAACTTTAGAAAATCAAGAGTTTGTATAGTAGTATTTGCACAATCAATACTAACTTAACTGGCAGCTGTAAAGCCAGTTGTTGGTTGTAATTCGCCTATATGCGAGAATAATCCCCGCAGCGGATTTCAACACTATTGCTTGGTGGTTGTGGCAAGACTTTCAAAGAGCGGCCGATCAACAGCTCCGTATCTCCACTTCCTGATTCTTTGATTCTCTGAATCCAACTACTGACAGTACTCTTTTAGATTACAAAACATCTATACACATCACATAAAAGTGTGAGTTTCGACAACACTTCTTCTCTCTCTCTCTCTCTCTCTCTCTCTCTCTCTCTCTCTCTCTCTCTCTCTCTCTCTCTCTCTCTCTGGAGCGAACAATTGTATCACAGTTCACTGCTTATGCTAACACTCTCCAGTTAAATGGTTAAGTGCAGCCGTTTTGTTTGGTCCGTTGCGGTACAGTTTGGTACACACAGTCAGTGCATGCCACCTCTGAAGACTGACACACTGCCATGCGTCAGTCTTCATTAGTAGCTGAGAAAAAGCTTCAGTTCATTACTTTCTGAACTTTTCTTGTAAATAAAACCTGAGGATCTGGAGGGTTTTCAGCACATGGGGAGGGGGGAGACAACAGGAAAATTGTAACCAGGTTGAACTAGCACCATCTGTAAGGGAACCAGTCTCTCTTATTTGTTGACAATTGTAGACAGAGACAGGGCACGTTTTGGAATGTCATGAGTACAGTGACGTCAGTACTTCATTCATTTATTCATTTAATCATTCATTCACTCCACACACACACACGCAAAGGTATCTATGAAATTATAAACATTGTTTTACTCTTTTCTTCCACAGAAGAAGGCCACGTTTATGTAAACAACTTTCCACAAGAAGAATAATTCCAAATTATTTAGAGATCTCTCAACAATTCTACAATAAACTTTTGGAAAAGAAATATATACGGGATTCAACACAACCAGCAGCTTATCTTGAATAATTAACAGGTATTCTACGCGCGAAGTGCTTGAAAAGAACTATTCACTTTCTACTATTCAGGACAGGAAACAATAAATTGCAAGATAATGGAAATTCAGATTGTCTGTTTTATTCTTGTCGGCTGCGTTTTTGCAGTTTCGGCAGCACCAGCAAATAGCAGACGGCAAGACATTCAACATCTTGTTTCTCTCATTAGCAACATCCAGAACCTCAGTCGTATCAGACAGACGCTGCCTTCACTGACCAATATAGACACGGAGAACACAGCGAAAATCTCTTATATTCCTGAGTTGACAGACTTGCCAGGGAGCGAGGCCTCTGAAGATGAAGAGTCACTCAAGAAAGGCTTTCTAGGGAAACCCACCGGGCCGTTTAGCAAACGCCAAGGAGCTTGGTCTTACGACTACGGGCTTGGAGGCGGCAGATTCGGCAAAAGGAACTATGGCGATTACGGGATCGGAGGCGGGAGATTTGGTCGTGACGTTGATCATGTTGATTTGTCTGATGCCAGTGATGCAGAGATGTCGTCATAAAACAAAACAGACATAGATGGTGTTTTCAGTTCTGTCCAGTGTAAAGAAATAAATTATTACTGAAGTGTATCATGGATTAATGGTTTTGTGTATTTCAGATTAATAGTTTTTGTGTAATCAAGATCAGTGTTGTAAACTAAACATTTCTGTATCCTTGGTTTGTATTTCTCTTCTCTAATTCTGGCTTCTTTGTTGATGTGTTACACCTCTATCGTAAATACAGCTTCTCTGGTATATATATATATATATATATATATATATATATATATATATATATATATATATATATATATATATATATTAGCATAAAAGGGAATTGTATGATGATAACAGACCAGATGTAGAACTGCAGACCATGAATGATTGTCCACCAATAATGACTGAAGAAGTTGAAGATTCCTTGCATCATATGACTGGAAGAAATCGAAGCACTGGGAGATTTTGGAATACAAATTATAACGAAACATTTAAATGATATTAACACTAGTGGGTACATTCCAATCGACCTTTTAAAATCCATATTTATAGAACTGCCAAAGAAACCAGGCACTTTAAAATGTGAAGACCATCGCACAATAAGTCTTATGAGTCACATGACTAAGATTTTAATGAGAATAATTATAAGGAGAATAGGAAACAAAATAAACCAGAAATCAGCGATGAACAATGTGGATTTGTAGAAGGAAAAGGTACAAACAATGCCATAAACATCCTAGGGACATTGTCAGAAAAAGCTATAGAAGTAAAGACTGATTTGTACTTATGCTTTATAGACTATACAAAAGCATTTGACTGTGTAAAACACAAAGAAGTATTCAAACTGTTAGAAAAATTAAACATTGATGGAAAAGATCTACGAATAATAAAGAATATGCATTGGCAGCAAACAACAGCTATAAGAATTACCAACTGTTTAGGTACATTTCAGAGCATAAAAATGGGCGTACGACAAGGATGTGTACTGTCACCTGATTTGTTTTCAATATACAGTGAATATATAATGAGATCTTTAATTGGTATGCCCGGAATTGTGGTTGGTGGGCACAATATAAACAATTTACGTTCTGCTGATGGCACAGTCTTGAAAGCAACAAGTCAGAAAGAACTACAGGAAATGATAGACATTGTGGTGTTAGAAAGTGGAAGAATGGGCCTCAGTTTGAATAATGGGAAGACATGAGAAATGGTGATATCAAAGAAACGAATTATTCCTAAATGTGTAATAAAAGTCGATGTTGTTATTTTGGGACAAGTACAGCAATTTAAGTATCTGGGCACATCGATAACATCAGATGGAAGATGCATAACTGAGATAAGAAACAGAATTGGACAGGCAAAAACTGCATTTTATAAAATGAAGAACATCTTGTGCAATAAATCCTTTTCATTGAGAGTTGGAAACAAGAATTCTTGTTTGCTACGTACATCCAGTTTTAACATATGGCTGTGAATCCTGGACAATCTGTATTCAGGCCAAACAGTTTATTGAGGCCTCAGAGATGTGATTTTACAGAAGAATTCTTAAAATACCCCAGACAACCAAAAAGAGCAACCAAGAAGTTTTGAAAGAGGCGGAAACCCGGAGGCAACTTATCACAGACATCAGAAGGAGACAGTCATCATTTTTCGGCCATGTTATGAGAAGGGAGAAAATTGGCCAATCAAGTTTTAGGCCAAATGGCACCGATTAGGAAATACAAGATTGGGAGTATGAAAACTATAATAACACTGTTCAAAGCAATGTTCTTACCAACGCTATGCTATCAGTGTCAAACATGGACACTGTCTTTGGAAGACAGAAGGAAAATAGTCACGACAGAAATGAAATGTTTACATACTATGTTAGGTGTAACAAGGAAAGATCGACATAGGCACAATGATATCAGGGGAAGAGTCGACACAGAACCGAGACTGAACTTTATAGGTAGACTACAAATCAAATGGTTTGGCCATGTAAGAAGATTGGCATCAGACAAGGCAGCACAGAGGGCAATTTTATACAGATACAACGGTAACAGAACCAGAGGTCGACTACGCCGAAGATGGGCCGCAGAAATATTTTCTTCTTCTTTTACCGCTTCGGGTGTCGAGGGAGATATAAGATTTTGATTCGATAGGCTTGGTCGATCTGGGAACCAATTTTAATTTTGAATTATGTCTCTCCACAATTTGCGATCTGCAAGAGGTACCCACCGGCCTCACCTATTATGACTTGAGAAAAGGATGTCCAGAATGTTATCGCATTGCCTTCCTCTGTGTCTTTTTCTAAAGATTTTCTCAGTTGTCACAACATGTTCCAGTTTCTAATGTAAGCGCCTTTTTGATAACTGTCTGGCGGTTTTTTCTCAGGATGTGTCCAGTTTGTCTTCTTAGTATTATAATTATTCATAGAAGGGGTTAAAAGGACATTTCATTATATATTTAAAAAAAAAAAAAACCATAATAGAAAGTTTAAAAGTTTAAAAATATAACGTTGTGATTCGGTAGTATACATTTTGCGTGGGACAATTTTCAAATATGCCGATAATTCTTAAAAAAGACATTAATAAACAAGAACTTCATGTGAACGCGCTTTTTCGCTGGATTTTCCTAAATGGACAAAAAAAAAGTTTTAATAAAATAGAATCTTTATTATCACTCAAGTGATAACAAAGAAACATTATCTGGCAATGACATGAAATACGATGACAAATATAGTAGTCAGCGAGAACAGAAATCAAGTATGGTACCGTAACAATATACACAGTCACAAGGGTACATTAAAAAATACGAGTCCTAATAAATATCACGAAATGAACTCATCTACACACACACACATACACACCCACTTTACGCTTCCTACAACATCTAACTTGTCATGCATCAATCCACCACCAAGTTGTTGAGAACCAGCCAGTCAGTCTGCCGATTCGTTTCCCAGCACACTGGCATTACTTAAAGAAAATATCCAATGGACGCTAACAACCCGGGAGTTTTGAAGCGATCGATGCTTGCTACTCTGTGGGGAGCTGCCCACCTTTCTCAGCATGCTCTATGAGTCAGTTAAATCAAGACGTATATGTACAGCTGGTTCTCAACAATGTTCTGTTGTCATATAAGACTGGGAAAGAGAAATAAAGTACGAAAATATGCAGACATGACCAGGGTGGGTGTGTCCAGGACAGTGGCGAACCAGTGGCTCGAGGGTGGCAGAAACTAATCGGCAGGCAGAGCGAAGCTGACTTGCTCGCAGCAGTGAGGTACAACGACAAGCCGAACAGACAGAAGGAACCAGGTGGATCGCTCGCAGCCATGAGGTACAACGACAAGCCGAACAGACAGAAGGAAACAGGTGGATCGCTCGCAGCCGTGAGGTACAACGACAACCCGAACAGACAGAAGGAAACAGTTGGATCGCTAGCAGCCGTGAGGTACAACGACAACCCGAACAGACAGAAGGAAACAGGTGGATCGCTCGCAGCCGTGAGGTACAACGACAACCCGAACAGACAGAAGGAGACAGGTGGATCGCTAGCCGTGAGGTACAACGACAACCCGAACAGACAGAAGGAAACAGGTGGATCGATCGCAGCCGTGAGGTACAACGACAAGCCGAACAGACAGAAGGAGACAGGTGGATCGCTCGCAGCCGAGCTGACTCAAGAATTCACATCACAGCGCTTGGAGCCATCCCATCCTCAGCAGCCTGCGCAGAATTCCAATACTAGTGTTGCCGGTCGTAGTCTGGTTGTATGTCAGTCTTGCCTTTCCTCTGAGCGTAGTGTGCCGGCCAGGCTTTCTGGTCACACCCAGGTGCATCATTCTCTCCAGCCCATCGTGTTTATTGAACGACCACGACATATATAGATAGATATTGACCAGTATAAGCGCTAATCTGCATCCCAAAAATAAATTTAATGTTAAACATTTGCTCAGCTGAAATAGATTTGTGTGTAGGTAAACCACCTTCCGTTTTCGTTACAATCGGCGTCTGTGACTTTAGCATTGCGAACGCTCTTCGTAATGCCAAGTTGCCGGGTTCGATCCCATCTATAGGCGATTTGACAGCAGGTCGTTTTGCGTTGGTTTTGACAGTGGTACCGAGAGCTGACTTCAGACAGCAATGGCGAACTACTGAAGTAGAATGTGCCTTGAAAATAAACAGCCAAAAAATGCTGGCGTTGATTCTGCAGCGTCCTGTAAAGGATACGCAACTTACATATTTTTGTTTCGTTTCTTAATCTCTGGTACATCATTTGTTTCTACGTTTTTTTGCTTGGCGCATTAGAGTGCTATTTTGAATCTCAACACCTTGGTATAAGGTTAGTTGCGTTGTTTCTCTAGGCAAATTTACGTCCAGTAGTTTGCCATTGCTTCCTGGACGGTCGGCCCATTGATGCCACTGTCGAAACCAACGCAAGGCGCATGGCCCGCAGCTGGGATCGAACCCGGCACCCCGGCATTACGAAGCGTTCGCATCGACTTAACACCTTGACATAGGCGAGGTTCCATTAGTGACTGCTGGAGTCCGAAAGTGTTTTGGGGCCATGTTTTTGATAGCGATTCTCTCGAAGGAAAAGACCTACTGAGCTACCTTGAGCTGATCTGGTAGACTGATTCAACAAATACTCAAAGAGATTTGCAGCCAAGATTGATTGACCGACGTTCAACTCCACCAGCGGTAAACACCCGGTGACACAAAGTGCAACTATTCGGATGAGGATCACTTGGGGACAGGTCCCAGAAAAAAATTTTCAAGCTATATGCTGGGTTATATTAGGACCCCTGATAATAGCCAGGGTGGGGCTTTAAAACAACAACAACATTTCGTCCGACATGGGAACGCATAATGCCTTATATGCATTTACAGCCACGCAAAGATACAGACAGATAGACAGATCAAACTACTCGCTGACAGGCAGACTAAATGACTGATTAAAACTGATTAAAGGTTAGAGGATTATCTTCATTGAGTGGGATTACATTCTTTTCCGCTCGTGTTTTCTCCTCACAGCCTGAGG